AAGTCAGTGCGGACCTCCGGTGGCATCGTCGCACTAAGCCGCTCTAGCTTCTCAGTATGGCTTCGGAGAATGTCCACCTTCCCCACTTGTCTACTTGTACCCTCCATCTTCTAAGACCAAAATGTATGATTTGATGAAGATGATGTTTATTGTATGAATGTGAGTGTTTATTTTGCTATTTTATCATGTTTTTTTTCTACATGATGTGTGGTATTTGCATTTATTTATTTATTTATTTTTTTTGGAAAAATAAACTATCTATATGAATGTTTTTATGAATGCAATATTCTTGGACCAGGTCTTATTTGTGAATTTTGGAAAAAATGAATTTTTGTTTGTATTTTTATTTTTTTTTGTTTATTTTATAGCCTTTTATCTCTTCTGTCGGAACTGCGTGGCTACTTAGCTTGCAAAGAACCTGAAACCAGGCTAGCTAAAAGGCAGACTGTCCGAGATAAGGGTGTTTATTTGTGAAAATATTTTTTGGAAATTTTTGTTCTGTTGTTTGTTTATGCTATGCAACATACAAATGCAACAATCATATGCACACACAATTCAGTCATCCCCGAACCGGCGAGATTCCGTTTTTATCACGAGGTAGGGTTCTCCTGCAGACAAGTGCGTTGGTTAGGGTATGTTCTAACTGTTCTCACCAGGCTAAGGCCCCCAAGGTGCCCCCATTATAGGGTCCCCACTCTCCAGCCGTCCGACCATGCTCAACACTAAGGCCAGAATCGGTCTTGTTGCCAAAAGAGGAAGGTTATCACCTTGAGTGGTGGTTTCCGATCACACTGGTGGGCACAAGGCCCTAACTGCAGCGAACCGTACCTGCCACCCACTCCCTATGGTTATCTCACTTGCCCCCGGGTATAGGAGGAACTGTAGTGTGCAAGGGACTTGTGTGCAATTTATATATCAAGCAATTGCGTAAGTATAAACAAACAACAGTTTATTGAAAGCCAAACAATAAAGCATGTTATAATACAAGGCAGGGTAAAAGCGCTTTTTTCTTGGTTTAATTATTGTTAAGCCAGCCCATCACTAAATGGGATCAACTCTCTAGGCTTCCCCAGTGGAGTCGCCATCTGTCGCCGCCTCCCCGAAAGAGGGGGCGCGGTCGGAGCGACGCGATGGTTTTTCGACTCTTTATTGAATTTCGCATTTTTATTGGTGGTTACAACGTCCTTAGGTTGTCCGATAACCGGGCTAACCTAGAGACGAGGTTTTCAAAAAAGTGTCCTTGAGTTGTCCGACAACCGGGCTAACCCAAGGACTTATTTATTTTGGGTTCTATGGAGTCGCCACCGATATTTTTACCATAAACATCGGAAAAGGGGTTTTAAAAGGCGTTGGTTTTCGAAAACCAACTTTGGTCATTAGAACCAGAGTTGGGTAAGGGAGTTAGTTACGTGTAAAGGGAGTATTAGTCCCTTTACGACGCCCCTTTCGGGTTCCCTATGATAGGCCGGCTATTTGCAAATAATTAAACTTGGAAAATTGCGCTTTTACCCTTTTATTATGCGGTATTTAAATATGTGACTACATTGCCCTAGCTTCTATTGCATAATTTAAATAGCAGTAATTTTAAAGAATAGAGAATGAAGATATGCACCTCCAAAGCAAGCTTTATATTTAAAAAGAGGGTGCGTTTTGGCAACCCTTCGCTCTACAACTCTCAGAAAACTCCGGAAATGCCTCGGAGGGATTCTAAAGAAGATTTAGGACACTCTGTATATGCCTAAAGACACTCAGAAATTCCGGAAATGCTTCGGAGGGATTCTTAGAGAGAGAAATTCTAGAGAGAAGGGAGAGCTACTGTTTTTTTCTGTGTGGAAATGAGGGGGGGGAGAGCCCCTATTTATAGTTTTTCGCGCTGTCAGGGTCCAGACCGCCGTTCTCGCCTGACAGGGTCGAGACCGCCGTCTCGCAATTCGAGACCGCCGTCTCGCTCATGTCACGGGGTCCAGACCGCCATCTGGAAAATCCAGATCGCCGTCTCGACTTGGCAGAAATCGAGACCGCCGTCTGGAAAACCCATGCCGCCATCTCGTTTTTGCGAGTGTCGAGACCGCCGTCTGGAAAATCGAGACGGCGGTCTCGTCCTGGCGCCAAAACGAGACGGCGGTCTGGTATTTCCAGACGACGGTCTCGTCCCTTCAAGGCGAGAAACTTTATTTTTGGGCCAAAAAACCTTCCTATCTTGGTACGGGAGCCTAATAGTCTCTCCTAGTGGCTTGTTAAGCTTCAGCCGTCTTCAAAATAGGATGCTTTCTGACTTTATTTGGAGCCCGGGCAAGATTTGGGGTCTACAC